CCGCCGCCCACGGGCCCTCGGCCCTCACTGCCCGCAGGCCACCCTGCGTGGAGGCCACTCGTTCAGACTCGAGAGAGGGAAACCGCTTTCCTTTTGAAAACAATTGTTAGACTGCAGCTCGGCCCAGTGTGGCTCCGCGGCTGATGTCGACCAGGAGCCAGGAGGTCACCGCCTTGGTTCCCGGTCAGGGCACAGGCCGGGTTGCGGGCTCCATCCCCAGTGTGAGGTGTGCAGGAGGCAGCCGATCCATGATTCTCTCTCAGCATTGATGTTTCTCTTCCTCTCTCTCCCCCTGTCCCTTCCTCTCTGAAATTTAAAAATAAAAAATTTTTTCAGACGTCCAAGTCAGGGTCTTGGTTGGGTCCCCAGCATCTAGAATGCTCCTGGCACCCGCTCCCAGCGTCCACTGGGTCCTCTCTGGCCAGTGCCTCAGGCCACGAGGCCAGGCCCCACTTCCCTGAAGAGTTCACTAGAGCAGTGGTCGGCAAACTGGGGCTCGGCAAACTGCGGCTTTCAAGCCACATGCGGCCCTTTGGCCCCTTGAGTGTGGCTCTTCCACAAAATACCAACTTCTCCACATGGGCCACAAAGAGCCACGAAGTTTCAATTGCACTGTACGTGCGCGCCCGCACGTAGTATTTTGTGGAAGAGCCACACTCAAGGGGCCAAAGGGCCGCATGTGGCTTGAAAGCCGCAGTTTGCCGACCACTGCACTAGAGAAACAGGTAATGATCCTCACAGGCTCAGCACCTGCAGCCCCTGGAGCACCTGCTCTCACGGATCCATGGGTGGAGCTGGTTCTGGTGAGAAACCTTTCAGGCCCTGTAGAGGCTGCAGGACAAACCTGATTGGAGGAAGCAACAAGGGTCACACCCAGAAGGGGGGCATGGGGGCCGGGGCTGGCGGGTGTCATGGTCTTCAGGGCTGAGGAACAGCGCCTCCATGGGGATGCGGCCTGGGGGTGGGCAAGGGGCACCCACCCAGAAGTCTAAACTGAGCCCAAGTATGACAGTCACTGCTCTAACTTTATGATAATCCTATCTAATAAAAGAGAAACATGCAAATTGACCATAACCCCGACATCCTTCCCATTGGCTAATCAGCAGGATATGCAAGTTAACTGCCAACCAAGATGGCGGCTGGCAGCCAGGCAGATGAAGCGAACAGGAGGCTTGCTTGCTCCAGTGATGGAGGAAGCCAAGGTTCCCTGCCTGCCGCTGCAGGCCTCTGAGCTGCACCCTAGAAACAATGTTGTAATTATAGAAACTCAACAA